TAGTGAAATCATCCCTACTTTTTAAAAACAACCAGACACAGGAAGTCAAGTTTGGCATACAGTACATAGAAAATTTCACTAAAAATCTCCACAGAAATGTCTTTGTGCTTATATTTTAATTCATCTATCTAATCTTATTCATCTTCTTTAGAGGCTCAATTTTCCAATTCTTTGTATTAACAGTTTAACCTAATAATCAAGCAAAGTTTGTATTAATGGCTTGTCTATCAAATGTTCAGAAGATGAGATGGAGAAGAGAAGACTGGGGAAGAAAAAAGCATTCAGAGCAGAGCTGGTCAGTTAATGACATTGTAAATGTACTTCTCCCTCTACATTTCCAAGTGGACAATCGTAGGTGCAATTAGACTTTCATCTTATTTTGATAAGTTATTCAGAAAGCTTTGTAAAAGATCCAGGAGACATTTTAAAGAAATTCATGATCAATAATAGCAATCTCTCAAACACTTGACACAACAAAAGGAAATAATAAAATGAATAGCAATAAAATTACAATTAAAGTAATGGTGTATTTGAATAATAATATATGGCATATTCGGCTCCCTGTTATCTCATTTTGAAAATCTAAAGGTATTCCATTTCCTCTATAAAGAAAGCAATAATAGCATAGTTTTACTTAAAATGCAATTATTATTTTAAGGAGGGAACTCTTTTGTCAGTGAGGTAAAAAAATATAAAGTTCAGTTCTGTATATAGTGTCAACTGCAATTTGTCTGTGGCTATTGTTTATTGGCACTGTTCAAGGGTTCCCTTCTCCTTTCCTTCTTCACCATGGCCTGGCATTTTTCCTCACCATCCAAGTTTCATTCCTCCAAACTTCATTCCAACTTTAGCTGCCAAAAGCTGAGGCTTTCCCTGTTGCCTAAAGCCATTTCCTTCCAGATACACAGAGAAGTAAGTTAAACCTTCAATGAAGAAATTTCTTTTTGCAGGACGGAGAGACACCAAAACCGTTCTTTCATATCCCACAGAAGTAGCCTACTCACATTCTGTGAATGCTCTTCCATAAATCCTCATATGAAAATTATTTTTATACAGTCTTGTAGTGTCCTTTATTATGACCTTGCCATCTTAAGTGGCAATCTGATTTTCATAGTTCTGAAGAAGGAAGCTATAATACCCCGTGTAATAATAAATTAGCTGGCTGTGGTATGTAAAACAGAGGACCATCTTCAATTAGTACACAGATGCACGCCAAGACATTGCAACAACCACAGTGTGCCGTCTTAATAGAACATTTAACGAAATCCCTGGTGACAATTCATAAAATACTTTTAGTCCTTCAGAAGAGACATGATTGCCAAATTCTTGACCCAGAACTCCCCAAAATGAAAACAATATCACAAATCAATGCCGGTCACCTATTTGCAAGCAAAATTTTCAACCAAATATTAGTAGCAAAACTACTTGTTTGGTTTATCCTTAGGTGTAGTCTCAAAAAAATAATTGAGGTTTCATTGCCACACAAAGTTGTGTGTGTGTGTGTGTGTGTGTGTGTGATATTGCCACACAAAGTTGTGTGTGTGTGTAAATATGATGCTATCATTAGCCAGCATGCAGTTTGAAGTCCCTCCTCTGGCACCAAATAATAGTGATGGATCTTCCTGGATTAGCCCACAGTGTCTCTCTGAGCCTTTCTTAGTGAACATTTTGGATTTGAGAGATAGTTTGCCCCTTGAGCCTGGAGTAAACACCAACTTGGATCATGTGAGCAGCAGATCTTAAGCCTGAGCCTCACTTGACCATATTTACATCAGCGGAGCCTATTCAAATGCTCATTTTTATTACAAAACAATATTTTAACTTTAGTAATTACCAATTTACCCTAAATTCTTGGTAAAATATACAGATTTAAACCAAATACAGTCATCATTGTATATTAGGAGTCATTCATACTAAAGTCATATTGGCTTATACTCCAATTTTTCTTTAAAATACATTTTAATTCAGTTGTGGTCACTGCTTTCCTAAGAATACATTATAATCTACTTACCTTTGAACATGTTATTGCCTAATAATTGCCAAAAGATAGGAATACATCTCAGGATATTTTAATTTTACCTATTCAAAATCATAGTACATAGTGAACGTATCAGATGCTCAACGACAACAACAGGAAATGCATATATTTACTGGATTGATGTGCTCTATGATGAAATAAGTCATATCTTTGTACCAAAATATCTGGGGACACCCTCCCCCACTACTTCATGCCAGGCACTGTACTGGAAGCTGACTCAACAATAAAGGCTTGCACTATGGAGCATGCATTGTACAAATCCACAAAATATCTGCATGCTGTACAATAAGCACTGTGCAGGAAACAAACAAGGTACCAAGATAGAAGCTAACAGATGACAACCTACTTTTGACAAGGTGATCCAGAATGATCCGAGGAAGAGGCCTTTGAGCTGAGGCTTAAAGTTTAAGAAGGAGAAAAAGGAAGAGTCCAGGCTTTAGGAACAGCATTTGAAAACGCCTTAGGAAATTTCTCCACAGGGTCCAGGTAGTAAAAGACCAGTGTGGCTGGAGCATATAAGTGAGAGGGAGATGGGTTCAGTGAGGTTGTAGAGAAAGGGGCCAGATCACAGGGTGATCTTGTCTGATATTAACAGAAAGGATCTGCTGTTGACCTGTTCCTGTGTTTCTGCATTTATTCATATTTTTCTATGCAGTTATGAGTCAATGAATATTTTTAAGAAGAGGCACCATTGCTTATTATTAAGAGTTACTTGCAGGGGGAAAAATCTATGGAAGCAGAACAAACTATAAAGGCTGTAGCAGGTACCCAAGTAAATTATGACGCTAGCCAAAACTGATTTGGTGGCAATAGAGATATAGATAACAGGGTGGAAGAGATACATCTGAGAAGGATAACTGAATAGATGTGTGACTGGATAATAAGATTGATAGATCTAAATATGGTCTGGTTAGGGATGAAATGCCATCATGAGGAAGAGGGAGCAATCAACACTTGGTGGAGGGTTGAGCCATTTATTCAAATGATAGAGGTGGGAAAGAATCTAAGGACAGAGTTTTAGGAAAAATCATGCTGTTACTATCATGACATTTAGAATGGCCCATTCACATTTGTAAACATTTAGCTCCTTTACAAGGTTAGAAAAATAGCGTATAAATCCCTTCAACACTTCACACTTTTTTCCACATATCTAATAGAAATAGATAGTAGATAAATATTAGTATTGATTATTCATGCAAAAATGTAAGACTCTTGTTTTGTCCTTGCCACAGAGAAAATGGGTTGGTCTGAATAAAAAGTTGAATAGGACCCCTCTGATTCCTCCTCTGAATTTCTTACTTTTTCTTTGCTGCCAAAACACATCTCAGCCACAGGTAGCAAAAACACAAGCACTGAGACAGGAGGGCTCCCAAGATTATCTCTGGGCCCCAGGAGACACAAGGAGGCACCAGAATGCCCTTGGGAGAGAGCCAGGCCTACTCATCTTTCTTCCGTAGAAGCACCAGGTATCGGTGAGCCCTGCCCTGCACCATAAGAATCATGGTATATTGTGTACCCACCCTCTGTAAAAACATGTCACTGTGTCCCATGACTGCACAATGGTTCACTTCCAAAAGGCAATTTGTAGTAGACAGGTATTTAAACACCTACAAGATACAAAAAATTGACCTTAAGTAAAACTATTATCAGTTTCCTAAATAGAGGGCACATCCTCCATGACATCTAATGCCATATTTTGTCTAGCACTTTGTTGTAAGCAGTATTCTAACAATCACGATGATTCCATACACAGGGATCAAATTAGACTAGCTTTCAAATAATCAAGATATTTTTTAAAATCCTACGAAAGTGAACTCTAATTTGAAAAAAAAAATTAGAAGATTCAATGAAAAGGACTACTTAATACTTGGATTTGGTTTGCATATTATATGTAGACAGGCTATATTTATGTTAAAGCAAAAATCGTGAAAATATATTTTAAAATACCAAAAGAAAGAAAAACAGCAATAGAAATAGAAAAGAACATAACCCCCAACTCACACTCAGCCACTGAAAATCCACCATTATTTTAAAAGCTCATATTGATTTGGTCTTTATCATATTGAACTGAGCTTTTTAAAAACTCCCCTAAGCTTCTCTCATAAAAATTGCTCTTAGCTTCAAAGGAAATATAAATTACTGGGAGAGCTGCAGCTGTAATAATTAAAAAACACTAAAATAATGAATTAAATATTTGCTATAATCACAAAGTTGTCATTACATTTTCTGGTTTGGGAATCTTGCTTTGATCTTTCAATTGCCTTTAATGCAAGTAGCGAAAGTACCTATTTTTTTCCCCTGAAAGTAAATACCCGTTTCTGTTGAAGTGGATAAAAAGTTAAAGTGATTCTGAACCTTCTCTGAATGTCACTATGAAAGGCGTAATCATTTGAAAAACAAGCTGCGTGGAGAACTGGGGCTCAGCAGTCTTTCAGTCATTTGTTTGTCTGCTCCAAAGGGTTGTGGCACGTCTTCCCTGTCCCTCAGGTGGTATCCATCAGCTGCTGGTTCCCGCCTTAGCCAAGGGGGCACAGACCACTTTATTTTTTTTTTATTTTTATTTTTTTTTGCTCATAAAGAAAAGACCTGTCCCTGGAACCGAAACCCATCCAACAACTCTGCTAGCATCAACAGGAAGAAAGAAACCATCAGGTGTCTTGCCCTCTCCACATTTCAGAACCTGGCAGCAAACGCACAAGGTCCAAACCCGCCAAGGACCGGCGCTGCAATGGGAACAGTTGCCTCTCCAGCCCTCTCAGCTCCTCCAGCCCCCAATACCGGGACGTCCCGCCCGCACTCCGCCCGGCTCCCCCCTCTCTGCTCTCCAGGTGGCTTCGCGCCGGTGGCCAAAGCCCAGAGATGCGAATACGGACACAGGTGGGTGTGGCGGCTGAGGAAGCACTGGCGACACTGGTGGCTTCCCTGCCACCAGCACCAGAGCAGCAGGAGAAAAGGCACTTACTTGCAGCCTTGCCCGCCGGTCCTGCCCACCCCGTGCCCCGCAAAATCCGGCCCCGGGAAGGGCGCGGGCTTCGGGGACCCTTCCTGGCTCCCCCGCGTCCCCT